TTGTTCAACCGCAGATGCAATGGACGGAGTAGTCAAACCTGTTGCAGCAAGTTTGTCAAGCCGCTGTTTTGAGTAAATGTTTATTTGGTACCTGCTGTGTTAAACAGACACTACAAAAAAACAGGGATGGTTGTGTAGCTGGTTTTGTATGTATGGTTATGTAAATCCCTCAACTGTGTTCTAGTTCAGTAGGTCAAATAAGCTCAAAACAACTCTGTTGCAATTACTGCGCCAGTAGATCAGACTTTAAAAAATAAATGTTCATGCCTTCATTTTTTAATTATGTAGCCCCAGTGTTAACTCCAGTACCTCCTCTCTAAAGCTGCAGTCCTGCCCACCTACAACACCATCCAATTTTTACATTTTTAAACCTTTCTTTATCAGACCGCATACATTCTGCTCTGAATCAATTATCTGGGCTTTCACAGTGTGATGGTCTCGCCTCACTTTTCAGCAGATATTGGGGATCTTATGCCTCCTGTTTATCTGCTAAATGATCTTTCTTCCTCCTCACACTGCAAGAAAACACTTTAACTCGCTCGTTAAAGTGGAAGAACATCTGTAAGTAATGTCTCCTTTAAATAAACCATCACTTACCAGAGACTGAGACTCAGTGTATCAACCTGCATAATAATCCGAAACACATTGTTTTACTTATTACACCGCAGTAATCACATTATTGGCAAATTCAGCCGCCACAAATACTGTTGCTTTACATCTATTCTTCTGCTCTTTAAAGCTCTCTGCAAGTAGTCGTGCATTTTTCCAAGCAACGCGCGATCAGAGAGATTTTAGTGCTGCGGGGAACACTGTTACTCCTCCGTGTTCGCTGAGGTAACATCAGGGGTTAAAGTGGGATTTGGCAGGTTGGAGCCACCTGGGTGCAGCAGGGAAACAAAACATACACCCAAAATAACTCCAAATTATTTTGTACTGTGACATCCAGTAGAGTTTTTCTTGGAGCAGCGCCTTTAACAATAATCAGGTGTTTAATTTGTTCTCCTGTCTCACCTCTCGTCTTGGCAAAGCAGCAAATTAATTTCTTTACTAATTAAATACTTAGGAGAGAAGGAAATGTCCCTGGATATTTGTTTTTTACTCCTAGATGTGAAGAAAGGAGAACAAATGTAGGTGTCGGATCTGTACAAAGGAGAAGATCTCAAAGAGTAACATGCAGCATCCTTGTTAATTGCCTTAGCTCTGGTGTATCGATGTTCAGTTTCTAAAAGATATGTGTAAGCTTTTTGCTATTGATGTTGTTGTTTTTTAAACTTGCACTTAAATTTTCATTTCCATGGATACCTCAAAACGTTACCAGGTGTTTTTCACAGAGGTTTTGAAATGAATGAAGTCATGTGTAAATTTTCTTAGATATATTTATGATTTGATTTGACTTTCTGAAAGGTGCAGAGGGGCTGCGTGGGACTCTCTTTGACCTTGTTCCTTTTGAGTAGTAGCAGCAGTACTATTAGTGAGTCCTCTGTAGCAGAGTAAACAGAGAATTATGGCGATCTTTGCAAAACGTGGAGCAACACTACCATCATTTCAAAGACGGGATCTGTGAGTGTTTAGACGTCTGTTTGCTCTCAGTCTTCTGAGGTTTCATTAAACAGAAAATATATGACTAGAGGGCTTTTTCATTAAAACCTACAGTATTTACTTTAGAAGGACTAAAGAAAGAACAGCAGAATAAAGAGAATATGATGAGCACGCTGTGGATTACCTCTGAGCGTGGCAAACATGAGATTGCCCTCACATTAAGTATTTACCCCGAGGACAGATCAGTGCAGATTTGTATTATTCTAACGTTGTTAATACGAAACCAGCAGGTCTGCTTGTCCCCTTTAGGGACATAAGTGAAACAAAATGATACACGAATATGTAGGAATTAAATATCAGAAGGTTGCTGTGTGTTTTATTTGTGCATGTAAAATGTTTACTGTACAGTGTTTGTCAGGTTTTTTTTGGGTACACCTCAGAGCTTTATTTGTTTTTTGAGGCAGATTATTCATCAGCTAAAAATCACTGCAGTAGATAAAATCTAATCAGAACAAAAACTGTTTGTTTGTTTTTTCAGTTTAACAGGCTAATTTCTTAAGAAAATAACTTTTTAATGCTTGATAATAATCTAATTTACGGATTAATACAACCCACTTCCTCTACAACACTTGATATCCTGTTTGTTTGCTTTTAATTGAAGGAGTAAAAAACTGGCGATATAATAAAAACAGAACTTTAATCTATATTACTTTAAACCTTTTTACATTGTTTCAGAGCTAACCAGTTAGCTTAGTTGTAGATTATGTTATAATATATCTTATTAACAGCAATTTTGATTTTGATCTCAGCGTGTCACAGATTTCTTTTTTATGGTCATCTTCTACACAAAGAACCTCTAATATGATGGAGAACTCCAACCCTTTGGACTTCCCGTTTCACTGATCTAACCTGTGACCACGAAGACAACAGCCTGCTGTACAGCAGTCCAAATTAGTTTAGCCTAAACTACTGTACACTTCCTAGTAGGGCTGTGCGATATGACCAAACTCTCATATCCCGATATAAGAGTTCTATCGTCCGATAACGATGTAAATCACAAAAATGTAACATTTTCTGTAAATTCTGTGAATCTCGGGCAGCTCGACTTGCGGGAAGTGTTTCCAGCTG